AGATGTGAGGAGACTTAAAGAAGGAATGGAGAGTTGATGCATCTGCAGGACCAGGGACCGCGTGTACGTGTGTATGCTTTTTTAGCAAGTGTTCGTTTCTACCCCCTATGATGCTCTCTTCTGGGTAATGGACCTGGAAGTCTATGGATACACTTCTCAGCATCCTTTACCAGCAATGTTCAGCTTTCAGCTTCACCATAAAGAAACTAGAAAAGAAAAAAACTAGAGTGAGACTTGAAAGGCAGAAGAAATGAAGCCGAAGCCAAATCATTGCTCCTTTATCTGCAGGAGGCAGATGTGTGGGCTTTGACAGATGGGAAGCTTCTTATGGCCTCTGGTTGCTGCCCTGTGAATCACTCTCCTGGGTGCTGTAAGCAGCTCTGATCACAGGTTTAGGTTATTTCCAGTTCCTGAAGTGCTCAATCCTCTGAAAGCCAGAAGTCAACTAGAGAGTTTAAGCCACGATATTTTTTTCTTTTTTTCAGCTTCACTCCTGCAGCCTTTTCAGGAGTTTTAAAAATAACTAATCCACTGTATTTGTTTCTTTCTTGATTGAAATACCTGGAGTGTTTTCTGTTACACTCTAGGTGTAATGGAACCTTTATACCTGGCTATACCTTGACTGACACACTTTACATGTATGTTCAATTTTCTCTTACAGTCTCTCTAATTTCAGTGGACACATCTGCCCAAATAATTTTCCTAAACCAATTCTTTTATCTGATCAGTACTTCAAGATAAAGTCCAACAGAATCTGACTCAATTTTGCCTTCCTGATTTATAACCTGCCAGGCTTCCGTCAGGTCCTTGTCCTCAGTAGAGTCTGCTGAATGGGTTTATCTACAGTCACCAAGTGGGTTGCACCTTCTTATCTGAATCATGCACATTTGTCTCCTCCTGATGGGAACTCTTTTTTCCAACCATGCACGGCCATTTCCATTTCAGGCTTCAGCTAAAACTCCCTTTTTCTTTTCAAGCTTTCCTTAGTTCACCCTCACTCAGAGTGATCTTACCTGCCTTTGAACCTTTGAACTTTTAGCATCTGTATCACTCTTTTTTATATCTTCTGTTGGTTGTTTACTGTTATTTTTTATGTGCATGATTTAAAACTAAATCTAACTGCAAGCTTCCTGATAGGGAAACACATGCATCAGTTTATGCTGCAAGCCCTGGAGCAAAGCCTTGCTTTTTCAGGTCCACATCCCAAAAGTAGGCAAGGATCCTTCTATAGCATCTCTGACATCAGCATCCAGCCTTCAGTGATGGAAAGCTAATTGTGTGGTTGAACTGATGGAGCTGTTAGGAAATTCTTCCTTATGGTGTGCATAAATGCAGCTACCTGCAACTTCAAGATCTGCTTTCTTTAGCTACCCTGAATGGGTCTACACATCTCTCTTGTGTTATGCTTTCTAAAATTTAATGTCATTTTTAAGGCCCCCACATGACCTCTATCAAACTTTTTTGATTATATTCCCTGAAAGAAATCTTTCTGTGGTGACCAATTATGTGCACAAACACTAACAATATATGTGAAACAGATGCTTCAGAAAACAAAATTTACCGTTCCTATGTATATTATTTTATCTTTTTATCCAATGTATTCAATTTTTTTTAATGTAAATGTTTACTTGATAGTTTGAATTCATGACCAACTAATGTTGCAAAACACTGATTTGGACCTCATTTCCATTCCAATCTTGTCTTACACAATATTCTTCCACGCTCTTCCTGTATCAGCAAAACTGGCCTTTCCTCTGTTTTATGAATGGGCCTAAGTGCTTCCTGTGTCAGGGACTTTATGCATGTTCTCTTGAATACCATCATCTCTTAACCCTTGCTATTCTGACTTAGAGAACTCTGGATCTGGTTCAGTTTTTTCATTTTATAGACAAGAAAATTGAGGCATAGAGAGACTAAATAATCTAGCTATATATATATACTAAACCAATATGTATTAGAATTTGATTATCTCTGTGATGCTAAGCTAGGTCCTATGGGTAATAAGAAAATAGCTTCCCCTCCTCCCCCAGGAACACACCCACACACACAGACACAGACACACACACATACACGCACATACACACACCCCTCCCAGTTATTCTCATCGCTAACTTCTTCAAGTTTCTGCTCGGATGTCATCTTCGAAATAACACCTGTCCTGACCGTTCTAAATATTGACGCTTCTCCCAACCCTGGACTTAGTATTTTCTTTGCTCTGCTCTACCTTTAATTTTTTTTCTGCAGCAGATATCATGGTCTAACGTGTTAAATTTGCTTATATATTATGTTCACTTTTTATTTCTGTATCCTTCTGCCAGGATATAATCTCCGTGGGAGCAGGAGTATTTGCTTTTATTAATGGAGAACAAACTCTCAGTGCTTGGAATGAAGGGAGTAGGTCCTCAACCATTATTAAAGGAATGAATGAACGCAAACATCCACCTTGTCAAAAATCACAGCTACTTATTAGAAGGTTAGAATTAAAGCCAGATCGGCTGACACTCATTTCAAATTTTTTCCTTCTTTTGTTCATTCTGTGCTTCCTGTTAGCAGTTTTTTCTCCCTAGTTATTCTCTCATCTCCTTAGTTTCATCTTCCGTTTCCATTATTTTTAAATATATAAATACCTTTAGTTTCATTATGTTCATAATATCCTTGTTCTGTTTGTAAACATTAAAGCTTTGTTAAGCGTTTGGTTTCTCTTCTCGTCATATTTTTGAAAGTGAGCAGAGACTATGTTTCTCACAGTTGGTATTGGCTTCAATTGTGCTAGTTATGGAATAACTTGTATTATAAACTTCTTTCTAACCAGTTGTGTTTGTCACAACATCTGAGATATAAAAGCACCATTAGAATTTCATAACGTATTTTATTTTATAATTGAGCACACAAACATAATTTGCCCTATCTTTATCAAGCTGTGGTTTGTTCTAGTTTATTATGTAATTTTTAGTTTCTACTTCGAGGCTACAGATTGAGCTCATGTGGAACACATACTTTCCTCCTGAGATTCCATTAAAATTATGATAAAGATAAGAAGCTTTTAAGCTTACAACCATGAAGAGGGTAGGGGGAAGGCTATCAGGATATTTCAACACATTTACTGCAAATAGAAATCAGATGAATGAGTTTATCTTGATGAGCCAAGCACAGGAAGCTTACAATGTAAATATTTATGAAAAGTCCTACAGTGAAAAAGGGTTGCAGACTAAGAGATTGTAAGATCAATGAATGGCATGCGTCTTAAGTCAGCCATAACGAAATACTTCACTACTGATACAAAAATGATGGTGGCCAATCAGAATGGACACTTAAGCATCAGAGAATGACACCATCAGTGTAAACTGACTAATTATAACTCCTGCGTGCCTGTAAGTGTGACAGTTTACTTCACTTACACTTGAGCACAGAATGGCTAGATGCTTGGTGTTTTACCCTGGCAGAAAAGGGGTAGGGGGAGACAAAAACGTAAAACAAGGGCAAAAGACATGCAGAAACTAGCAGAGACTTCTCTTCTATAGAAATGGAATAAGCTGAGTGGTAATAACTAGGGCAGGTAATATGACTCATGTCTTTCCAGGAGACACTGGTTGTGTGTTGATGATCTAACTCGAGAATCACCCCAAGGGTGAAATAAAGATATTTCAGACAATAGACGATAAGTTAGAAAAGAGTGTAATTAAGAACTTCAAAACAATCGAAAAGATATTACATCTCTAACATGAGAACTGTGTGTAAATACACACATAAAAGGCTTCAAATTAGGTGGAGAAAATATATCACAGGGAGAATAGAAAAGGTCTATAAAACATGAGGAGGAAGATAAAAGATGTCGAGTATCAATTCAAGGATTTCAAAAACCAGAGAAAACCAAGGCAAGTGATAATACATTAAATATATTGTATTTGAGAAACTTCTTGTCTTGGGAATTCCGTCTTACATAGAAATAGTGGTCTTCAGATTTTTACTCCAGCTTTTTAATTTCAGGCAAGTTAATGAGTATTTTACAATCTCCCTTTACTGAGCAGTAAATGGAGAATATTGAATTAGAGATGGTGATGCACTTTTTGTATAGGTTTAATACAATACAATTTTTATTCTGGTTTTAAAAGTGTTTTGTTTTTCTTAATGAGAATCCCCACGGTGTCTTAATTTTCACCCTTAATGTCACCTTAATTTTCTATTTTTCTTATTCCTATCCAGTAGTCAGTTTTAAGATTTTTTTTTTAGTACTAAATGTGTGGAGATTTCCTGTTAATACCCAAAGAGATGGAAGGTAGATATTTGAATATTTTTGTGGTTTGTAGATGTCTGACCTGTGTTTGAAATACATTATCATAACAATAAAAATATGTCAATACTGAAAAACAGGTAAGAGGTGAAGCCAACAGCTACATTTTCAACACCATTTTCTATTTACATTTATCGCAATTTTTTTGCTTATGTCTGTGTTTGTAAGTATGTAAGAAAGTTTGTCATCCAGGGCTAGGAGCACTAATGAAATTACCGTGAAGCTGTCTTTGAAAAATGAGAGGAATCCACATTTGGTTTCCATAATGAAATCTATATTTGCTTGGTCATGGTCCAAATCAGTTTGAAAAAGTATACACCTAATTGAGGCAGATGAAGTTGTCCAAAACTTAATAAGGATAGAAAAAAAAATAGAAGGAAAATTTAAGGAGAAAATTTCCTATTAAAGATGAGTAACTGTTGATTACTCAGGCCCAAGAATTAATACTGATTAATGTTACATTATTCAACAGATCTTGCCAGGATAAAGAGGTATTTGTGAGCTCAGTATCATAGGAGGCACAGAGCTGCTTTGCAACTTGCATTTTATGTCTGCTCTCCTCTCCCTGGTCTGTACTCTTAGGGTGAAACTTCACTGCAGTTAAGCAGACCTTCCCATTCTAGGGAGATTATTCTCTACAACTTCTGGGTTTTCATCCTTGTCAATCACCCGAAATAATGCCTACCAGTTTTTTTTTTAACCCTTTGAGGATTCTGCCACATATTCCTTTATCTGAATATTTCCTAGATCTGCTCTTCACAGTGAGTTCCTATATAGGGCCCTAAACACTGAATATTTTTGTTTTGTCTGGATTTTTAACTGTACATGGAGACTGAGTGTGTTTGTTACCTACACCATCATCATGGCGTAGGATTTGAGGGGGCAGTAGGCAATGTCTACAATGAATAACAGTGTAAATGAGAGCCTATTTTTGTTCTGGTTTATTAAGAATGTGCTCTTTTGCTCAGCTTTGAAAGGGCTTTAAAGCAATTAATGACATCTTTAAAAAGGGTGGTTTAAAAAAACTCACTGAAAAGAGTACAGGGTGTAGTGTGAAGCTCTAAAGAAATATTTATTGCTCTTTATAATTGTTTAACTCATTTATTGATTCCATAGTTTTTAGGCAAGTAGGACCAGTCATAAAAATGAACATGAGAGATCAGCTAGGGTCTAAAAGAACGATCAGAAAGAGGAATGTAACATTTTAATTGGAAAAGGTGGAGCTTAATGTTAATATCAGTGCTCATGGCCTTCAGCTGCATCGCTTTAACATTTGAAGGGGCTTGTGAACATTTGCTAATAGAAACTCTTTTTGTAGGTCTCTGCTGAGAAGCAAGATAGAACTATTTAGTGCAGGGAGGGACAAGTTTAGTAAATGGGATACTATAAAACTTAAAGTAAGAATTGGAACTGAAAGTAATGGTATTAATTTCCTTGGCATAAATTTCTGCTTTCTCATCCTGAAGTTTTATTTTGGCATAAAGAGAGCAATAACACTAAGCCCTCCACTGGAATCCAAACTGAAGATAGATGATTTTGTCTTTAAAAATTTCATTATAAAGGACTAAGTATGGAATAGATGAAAAAGTGTTTTAATTTAATGATAAGAGTGTCCCTTTTGGAGTCAGAGAACCCAGGCTGGAGACAGAGCTGCATTTGTTTGTAGCCTTTTCTTTTATAAAACAGAAATAATAAGATTTACTTCAATGGATGGTTGTAAGAAAGAAAAAAATTACGAGAAAGTGTGACATTTTTTAAGCTATCAGATTTTATACAAAAATCAGATACTAAAATAATAGAGACTGACATTTTGTAAATTTAAAAATGAAATAATTTCAAAGTATAAATATCCTAGTCTCTCATTGGAGGCGCTGTGAAATTAGGGGAAGATTATAGGCCTTGATGTTAAAACAGTCTGAGTTTTACTCCTGATTTGGACACAAGTTAGCTAAAGGAATCAATGAGTTTATTTAATGTCTTTTCTGGTTATCTATTGCCGTGTAAACTACTCAGAAACCAAGTGGCTTAAAACAACAACTGTTGTATTATATCTCATGATTTTGTGGGTCAGGAATTTGGGCACAGATGGTGCTTCCTCAGCTCCACGTAGCACTGACCGTCTCTCACGGATGTTCAGGTGGTGGATGGGCTGCTGTGGGGGGGTAGGATGGCTTCTGTGCATATCTGGTGCCATACTGGAGAGGACTAGGGGGCTGGGGTCTCAGCGCATCCCATGGAAGAGCATGCCAACGTCTGACATCTTCAGCATGTCAGGCTCAGGGGAGCTGAACTCATTACATGGAAGCTAGCTTTTCCCACAGTGAACATTCCAGTGGACCCAGGCAGGAGCCTTAAGGCTTCTTGTGACTTAAACTCAGAAGTTCCAGAACATCCCTTTTGTCACATTCTTTTCATTATGGGAGACATAAAGTCCAGTCCAAATCCAAGAGGAAGAGGAATAGACTCCAACTCTTAATCTGTCATCATAGCTCTCAGCCTCAGCTTTCCCCAAAGAGTTGTTGTGAAGGTCCGGTGAGACTGTGTCTTTAACTGCCTCTCATAGAAACTTACCAAGAAAATTCCCTTCTCTTTTCTTCTTCGTTCATCTGGAGATTATATTCCCCATGTCATTAGGATACCTGGGAACCACTGAAGTAAGCACAGCTGCCTCCTTAGCATTCAAACAACAAGGTCCTGCTGTACAGCACAGGGACATGTATTCAATACCTTGCAATAACCAATAATGGAAAAGAAAATGAAAAGGGATACATGTGCATATATGTATAACTGAATCACTACGCTGTATGCCGGAAATGAACACAACACTGTAAACTGACTGTACTTCAGTAAAAATAAAATAAAAGGCACTGTTATTTAAAAAAACAGTGAAAGTGAATTTATGTACTTTAATCACAGAAAATACCTAAGGCTCAGACCAGGTACAATCTTTAACTTATTATAGGCCAATTCTCAGAGTTACTTGTTTTTGCAGCAGATAGCAGATTAGAAAGAAAAAAATTAAAAGAAAGCTGGACTTCTAAAAAGAGACACAAGTAAGGAACTTTGAAGCCAAGGGGAAGAAAAAGTGTAAAATACAGGCCACTACGACTCTAGCATTCTGGGACTTTTTGGGAATAATAGTCTATCAGGATCTCAGCGACTCTTGTTTTATAGTCTAAGTTGCCAATTACTGTTTCTTATGACTTCAGTAACACAAGTTTAAATTTTGTTTTGTGTCACCTGAAAGTATAATAGAATGTATAATCTATTTTAGAAAGATTCTAAACCTTGATAGTTAACATTAAATGTGTATCACGTGTAAAGTGTAAGTTTCGAGATTTCCTGCTCACGGAGTTTTTGTTTCCCTAATGGTGCTATATAGCTGATGTGTTTCGGTATGATGTTATGCCATGATATGAGAAATAACTGTCTTTTTTTGGCTGACCAGCAGCTAAACCTTGTTTTGAAGTTTTTGGAGTTATTTACCTTGAATCCGGTGAGATTCACAGAGTACCTTCCCATGAGAAGTTGGAAAGGGCAATATTCCCTTTCACAGCCTTCTGGGCAATAAGTGGTGTAGCCGTGATGTTGGCTTAACTAGTCAATATAGTTGCTCCACCTCTGGAACCATGATCCCGTGATGGAAAGAGCCAGGCAGGGCAGCAGAGGTGGGGCGGCAGCAGCCTCCAGCTCTCACGGCCCGCTGGCGTACAGCAAGCTGCAGTGTACACACCAGACTTGTTTTGTTGCAGGATTTTACCCTAATGCTGCCTGACACCTGCCTTATTATTTGTGCCTTTTTCCAAGCCAGGTTCTCTAGGGTTTCCTGCAATTCTGTGACTTATTGATAATCATTTCACTGTATCTCTTTGTTTAATCAGAGTTGGATTCTATTGCTTGAATTAAGAATGCTGATCATTACAGAACTTACTATCAAAGTGCTTGGTAGACCACAGACCCATAAGGAAATGGTGGCAGTGGTTCTGGATTCTGGCTCTACATTAGAATCCCCTAGAATGTTTGGAAAATACCAATACCCAAGCCAGCCCAGATCAATCACATTGATCAATGTCCAGGGATAGGACCCAGGTATGGATACTTGGAAAAATATTTAGGTGATTCTAATGTGAGGATTAATATAGAGAAAGAAATTCAATGACTTATGGAGATGGGGATGTTGAAATGGATTAATTATATGTATTTGTTCACCTATTCCCAAGTTATATCTCCTAAGAAAGCCCAGGATATACTTCTTTGACCAAGGCTTTGGGTGACTACAAGCATTCTTGAAAATCACTTTTGTAGTTGTTCTCTGTAAGCCAAAAGTGTAGTGGAAACATTGCTACTGAAATGGGATCTCTGACTTAGATGGAATTAACAGGGTCCAAGTTAGTAGTTTTCAACTAGTGCATCTAACTTCCAGGCTCGAAGGAGGACGCGGTTATTGTGATAGTCTGCAGGGCCTCCCTGATGATAACAGTGAGCCGTCCAGCCGGGACTGTTGCTTTTGACAAATGAGTCATGGGCTCCTTAGACTAAAATGGATGAGAAACCTACAGAGTTCCTATTTGATTTGTACAACTGGAAAATTCCAAGTCTCGTGAACGAAAGTCTGACTTGATTCATCTTTTGACAGTCCTAGATGTATGTCCAATTTCCAGCCCTAAGTTCATTTGCACACCCGGAGACCTTGGATGAAAAATAGTACCTCTGAGGGTAGAACCTCTGATAATGTAATAGTTCCAACAGGGTCTCTGACTCCTAGCCTTCTTCAGCAGTCCTTGTTAGTTACCAGGTAGCTCCAAGGTCCTTGGCTGGCACAGGGCAAAGGTGTACAAAGATTTCAAAAGGTTTTTTGTTGTTGTTGTTACTAGATCTGTGTTAATTCTAATTGCTGGGGACCCAGGATACCCTGAGAGTCAGAACACAAATGGAGTCTTGGTTCATCTGCCATATGCCAGGCCCTGTGGGACCTTGACACCACCCTGTGGACAATTTTTCTACACTCGGGTGTGTAGAAGTAAAGGATATGCTAAGCAACAGGAGAATCCACACATCTTCGTCCTGCCCTAGAGGGCAAGAGCGATTATGCTAAAAAGAACTATGAGAAAACCTCTGGAGCTCCCTCTCCCCAGTCAATAGTACGCCTAAGGGAAATACAAGTATCAGTGCCATTTTGAGTCTTGAAAGAAACAGGGGTAATGAGCTCTTCCCATTTCCTTTTACTCTGCCAGCTTGCCTGTTGCGTACAGAGGTTGGATATGCCCATGGAGAATGATGGTGCATTGCTGGAAGCTTCATCTGATGGTTACTCCTATAGCAGCTGCAGTTTCCAGATGTGGTCTCTTGATGGGAACAAATAAGTGGAAAACCTAGTCCTGGTACGCGGCCATCGGTCTGGCTAACCTTTTATTCTCTACCCCTAAAGCAGACAATATCAGATGCATCCTGCTTTCACCTTGAAAGAACACATGTGTAGCAGAGGGTAAAGGCAAGTCTCAGAAACTGAAAGGGACTTACAAGCTCTGTGTTAATAGTATTAGGGCCACAGCAAGCCCTGAGAAACAAACTGTGCAAGTGGTTTGGATGTGTCTGTTTTGCTACAGTGCCACCCTGCCCTCCCTGAGTTGCTAGAAAAAGCGGGCCTAGTGTGATGGAAGGGTCCTCTTGCAGTCTGGTAGCTGACTTCAGGGTGTGCTTTGCGGGAAAATGAAAAAGAAAATCTTCCCACTGGACAGAACCTGGAGCAGAACACCGCATTGTCCATATGCTCTGGACAGAGAAATGGCCCAAACTGAGTAGCTACATTGCTTCCTGGGCCATGGCTAGCAGTTTGGTGGTGAAGTTAAGGAAGTCAGAAGAAAAATGAAAAAGAAGCAAAATGTATAATGAATATGTGTTTGGTTGTTAAGACTATTCGATTCCACATGAAAGCTCATCAGAAGGGCCCTAGTGGAGGAAACTATAGATAAAATGTGGGAAATATAACCCTCGAGTAGAAATACAATTGCAGATTGATTACTTTAGATGCTACTACTGTATATAACAGATAGTTATTCTGCGCTGGGATTTACTTGCTCTGCTATTCATGTATTTGGCAAACCATGAATTTACTGATTTCCTTTTACATCATCTTGAATTTGCACACAATCTCACTCCTAACCAAAATCTCAAGTTTACTAGGCAGGTGCCCATCAGATTCATGGGTTTTACCAAATACTCCATGATCTACTTAGCTGTTGACCTTTCAAAATGGGGGAATGGTTAAATAACTATCATGTCTGCTGGGAGATCACCGTTGCATATTTAGAATATTGTCTGCGAGGATGCACTGATACTCAGCAATGAATACAGGGTGTTGTAGCGCTCATGAAGTGAGGAACTCGTGGATGGAATTGGGAGTTGCATGTTCCCAACAGCACTTATTATGGCTGGAAGCATTTCCTTTCCTGTCCCTAAACACTATGCTCTGCTAGTGCAGAGGTATTTTCACTCAAGGGAGAAGTGTTTCTACCGAGGGACTCAGCAAGTTCTATGTTGAATTCGAAGGTAAAACTTCTGCTGATCCATTTTGCACTCCTCAAGCTGCTGAATTATCAGTCAAAGAGGAGGGCTATGATGCTGGCCCTAATGATTGAGCTTGACAGTCAAGGGTAGTTACATAGCTGGTATACATTAAAGGATGGGACGTCTCTGACTAGAAGTCACCTGGTGTCTTGGCTGCTCCCTAGTACTGCCGTGGCAAGTAGTCTAATTTAATGCTATTCCAACAGGGCCCTGTATAAATTAGAACTTGGTTGCTCCACTAACCAGCTAGCTGATGAGAAAAAATTATAAGAAGGGAGAAAAAGGAAGAGAGTCATAAGAATAAAAACACCTTTATGAATAACTATAGAGACAAGATTGTAGTCTCTCCAATATTTTCCTCTTTGCCATATCAGTGTGTGTATGTATATCTGTATTTCCTCTTATTTCCTTTTTTCCCTTTTTTATATCAAGTAGTTCGGTGATTGCAAAATTTACAGTTTAGTATATACATCACAGAATATTAAAATTGGATCATGGCAGATCTATAGTTGTAAGAGATCCAGGACTTAAAGCAGAATGTTGATTAAAATTTGGATCATCCCACCTTAAATAAGGGCTGCAGGTGTTTTCAGCATACAGGTGATAGTTACAGCATTAATTATGTAGCAGCAGTTTTTAAACCTTACAAATTTGAAGAAGGTTGTAAGTATTGTGCAGTCTAAGGAATGAATTATATTAATTGTTTTTTTCCCCTGTATATCGTCTCAGTCCTTCCTCTTATATTTGGGAATTGCCCACCTCATGAGTCATGGTAGAAGGCAGGGCATCACTTTCTCCTTTTATGGAATCTGAGAATCAGATACTTAGTGGTCTAGCCTTTTTTCCAGCTAGAATGGGAACATGTGATGTAGGCGTGGTCTATTAGATGCCGTCACCATGGGACTGCATGGGTAATTAATGACTCAAGCAAGCAAAAGGGATGGAGATTCTGTTTTGGTAGTGATGAGCTTCACAAGCAGTAGTAACAGAATTAAGTTTCCAGAAGCATCCGTGGCAGTGATTCAGGAATGACATCAAGCGTCTAAGGTTGGCACTAAGATTTTTAAGGGACTTTTTTTTTGGCACGACTTTGGCTATGGTTCTGGCTACAGCTTCAAATCTTTTATTTCTGTCTTTTTCCATACCCGTTGCCTGCCATGCGCCACCCCGCTCCCCCCGCCCCTGCTTCTGGAGATTCAGTAAATCTTTCTAGACAATATTTAGCATATTGTCCTCTAGGGCTGCAAAATACGCTTTAAATATATATATATTTTAAATTTTTAAGTCAACAAGACCTTTCTTTCCGTTGCATGCGACAAAGATTCTGACTGATTGAGAAGAAATGAAAGGCAGGAAGGAGGAAGGTAAAAAGAGCATTCTTTTCCTGGGTGACCCAAGGTAGCATTAACTGGAAGGAACTCAAAATCCAAGAAGTAAAAGGCCAGAGGACTAGAAAACATTCAGTCCTCTAGGTGGTTTTTCCCCTTGGTCAGATAGAACAGAGTTAATGCACTCTCTTAAGGTAGTGTTTGAAAGGAGAGAGGCAGACTGTAGGTAGCTGCAAAGTCAGCAAGGAAAACAATGTAACGTGCTTTCCTGCCAGGTTCTGGGCTGAGAGAATGGTGCTGAAATGGGCGCGGAGACATATGTGTTGGGCACTGGGGCGTTGTGCACACTTATTTGAATAGTTTGGGTAGAGGGACTGTTAAAGGTGTGTTGGAAGGAGCTTTGCTATTGTTTAATTTTCCAGGCTTTACTCGCTACATATGGATTTACAGTAACACTAATAATCAAGTTCCATTGACATTTGCTTTCTCTTTCTAATGTAAGTCATTAACAAGACAACCCTACTTTATAGTTTTGTGTCATGAAGACCCCAGCCTTCAGTGATGGGGCCTGGCAGGGCTCAGTTCTGGCTGTGGGGATGGGTGGGATGGCCTGGTCCCCCTCTCTCTCTTAATGGCTTCTTCCAAGCTTAGGGTTGTCTTTTTATAACATGCTTTAAAATGGGGGTGGGGATGGGGTCTCTGTTGTTTGTTCACCAGTATTTGGAATAATTTGAAATTCTCATTTTGTAAGTATAAATCATGAGTCATAGTGCGACGAGAACATGGGACAGATCCAAGTAACAGACTTCAATATGTTTAAGATGCTCCCTCTCTTCCAACGACCAAAGCTTTTGGTTTTCATTGCTTTTCTTTACTGAAGTAAACTCACTGTCCCTGACTCCTTCCTTCTTAGTATTTGTTCCTCTGCATAAATCCCCTTTGAGTTCTCTTGTCCTGCCCCTAATAAGTTCTCCAGACACATCCAAGAAAAGTCTGCATCTCACTTAGACTCAAGCTAGGAGAGCTGCCGCGCTGAGTGGGTATTCACGTATAATGTGCCAGGATTAGAATTACAGACCAGTACTGAGCTTCCACTCACCTACACTCTCTGTGCATGACAGAGGTTTCAAGTGCATGAATTGGTGCAACAGGGCATAACTAGTTCCTAAAGATTCTTGATAGTAACTCACAAAAAATTCCCATTTGTGGAGGGAGACTTTCACATGTTAGACCGTAGATCTTTTCATGCTCAATTCAAAACACCTGGAGATGGAGGCAGGCGTGCTGATACAAATTCAATTCACATTTCTGCTTTAATTGAGCAGCCTCAATTAACGTTATGCATCCATTGAGAAGTTACACATATGTATTCGGATATTCTTTTTGTTTGTTGTGTATGTGGGCCGCCAATCACAAAGATGAGGTTGTTGGCTAGGCCTGTGGAAAGCCTATTAGTATTTAATGATACAGATTTTCCTTATAGAAGAGCTAACTTCCCTGTTATTTTCTGTCGCCAGTAGTTATGTTGTCAATTTTTGCGACCCTTACAAAAAGACACGTCGGTATCATTTCCTTAAGCCGCGCAGTCTCATGGCATTTTATTTCTACACCTTAGCTTTTGTGAAGTATGCAATAGTTCATAATACCCCTTCCTTCAGTCCTATGGAAAATGGTTCTTCATCAATTACTTCTTTACACTATAACTTAATTTTAAGGAAATCAATTAATATACATTTCATGTCTATAGAGAAGCTGTGCTTTTATTTCTAATAAATTTCAGATTAGCCTGTTCCTTACACTGCAGGTTCCTTGGCTGCCATCAAAAGCAGTGATCTGTTCAACACTGTGAGGGAACTTTATACTCACTCTGGGAGTGAAACTCCCTCAGCAAAGCTCTCTGCATACCCTCAGTCCTCCTGAATCCTCAGAGAAGTGAAAGGCAGCACAGAATCAGATATCCTTTCACCCAAAACACATTTAGTGAATGTTTTTTTGATGAACACCATGCTAGGTAAAGGGAATGTAAAGATGAAGTCTTTGCCCATAACAGTCTGGTGTGGACATGTGCACATTTGATAGTAACGATACTAAGTGGAAATAATTGCTATTAAAGATATGTTTAATGGGTTGTGAAAGCCCTGAGTGTTGGTGTAAATACCTCTTGTGCAGTCAGTTAAGGGTTCACAAAGAGGCGATGTCTGACCTCGGCATTGAAGGTGCAGTAGGATTTCAGTAAATAGATCTGGAAGAAGAGGCGTCCCACTTGCTCCAGTCATTCTAGGCAAGACCCACCTAGAGCTGGTGACAGCCAGCCGCTTGCCTGACATGTGAGTGAGACCATCAGTGTGAACCCCACTGTGGCCCACAGCAGACTTGCCAGGCTTAACCCAGCCCAAATGGCCCCCCAAATCTTCCTAGGTTAAATAAATGCCATTGTCTTAAGGCACTAAATGATGGGG